CTTACAAACTTTTATGTTGTATTATATATCATTATATTACACATGACACATATAGTTTATCGTATCATTTCGTGTCACTTCGTGTTAAGAGATCAACCCTGACCCAACTCATTTATTAATCGTATTAATCGTGTCAACCTGATTATGACTCAAACTCATTTATAGCAAACCAAAACCCTTTAACTCTATGTGGGTTTCGAGTCGTGTGTCATGTCATGACCCAAATTGTCATCCCTAAAAAAATCATTAAGTCCAATCCACCCTCAAAAACAGAGAGAATAAGGAAGGCAATACAGTAAAAAAGCTGGGGACACCATTGAAGGAAACCCAAGGGTATAGATCCACAAGACCATAAACACTCTCTACACAGGCTGTCAGAACCTCGACAACCTGTCACGACCCCAAGGATAGAGCTGTGATTATTAGGGTTTAATTTAAAATTTAACTTAATTAAACTGGAATGTTTAACAAAAATCACAAAAAATAAATATATAAATATCAATATAGTTTGCTCTGGAGACTTCTTTTACAAATAATATTTAAAACAGTCCATAAAGTCTAAAAAAAATAGTACAACTCTGGGACAATGTCGACCAATACAGTTTATATACAGAAATACAGTACATCTCAGAATTAAAACTATAAATCCGAAACAAACGTACCGCTTTGAATCTCGTACCTTAAATCCATTGGCATCTACTTGTCACGCTATAAATCTAAACCGCTAACTCTGGATGAGAGGTTTAAAACATTGAAAACATAATAAAAGTGAGCGGAAGGCCCAGTAGGATATAATTTTATAAAATATTATGAATAAAGTACTCACGGTCTGAAGACATACACCCAGAACCGATCCTCCTTTTTAGAAAAGAAACTACTCACATAGTAGTAGAAAATATCTGTAGAATTAAAATGTGCAGAGCATAACACCACTGAGCAAGAAGTGGTGAAATGTCTGCCTAATGAAAATGTACAGAGCCATAATACCACTGAGTAAGAAGTGGTTTCATACGGGTTTCGGGACCTGCCCCCAAGGATACAATATCCATATCCCGATCTCTGAGGCCACCATGTGTGGTATCATTTCTTAAGATATTTCATTTTAAGACATGATACTCTTTAAAATCTCATTTCCAAAATCATTAGAAAACTTAATAGCATTATTCATGCTATTTCCTTTTAAATTATTTTCTTTAAACGTGTTTTGTGCAGAAACACTTTCATGGGCTAAAATCTTTTAAAATGAGGCTAATAAGAATATGGACAAGAATATCCTAGCTCTCGGATATCAAACCTGGGCTAGCCTTTCGTTCTCCTAGCCTCCGCTTTCCTTAAAGCTTTAATAGTTGATCTTCTCCACTAGCTTTATCACAAAAGCAATATCTTAGGAAGTATTTCTCATTCCTAAAACGAATTAAGCTCAATCATGTTTAATTGTTTCCTATTAGTGTGCCTTGACTCAAACTCAAGTTTCACAAACGATTTTATAATCCAGTTTGGGGGTTCTTTAAGGATTAAAATCCAATTCATGAATTTGGTTTCCTATTTAATTTCAGTTTAAAAATAAGTTTTTAAAGAAATTTTGGCAGCATGCCGGCATAAATAGAAAAAATGTCAAACCTGCAATTCAAGTTCAATTTCAAAATAAATTCTCCAAAATCCATCAAAATCAGTTTCCAATCAATTCAACAAGTCCAATAACTGAAAACCTCTAAATTTTATTCAATTCTAACAACAATTGTTCAAATCTAAACCCTAACTCAAAATTATTGAAATCTAACTAAAATTAAACTTTCTCAAGTTTAAAATTCAAATTAAGAGTAGGAATTAGTTGATGGAGCCTTGTTTCCCTCGGTTTCTCCCGTTTTCATTTTTTTTCTGTGGGTGTCTCGGCCAAACTGTCGAAAGAAAGAGAAACCCAGAGAGAGCAAGGGAGAGAGAGAGAACCGGCGGGAGAGATAGAGAGCCCGGAGGAAGTGGCCGGTGGTGGAAGAAAAGAGGAGAGAGAGAGTGGCTGGCGGTGGGAGAACCAGAGGAAAGAAAATGAGAGAGAGAGAGAGAGAGAGAGAGAGAGAGAGGGAAAAATGTATTAAAATTTAAGTGTATTTTCAAAAAAATTTAGGGTAAAATCATAAATATTAAAAATAATTTAAAGTCTCTTGATTAATTGTGAAAATTAAATTATGCACACTAATAACTCAATTAACATAATTAAACATGTTATATTTTGAAGGGCTTTACACAACCCAACTACTCCTAGCTCTTCACTAAAGAACCTGCTCTGCGACCACGAGGTTGAAACTACCATCAGATTCTTCACTGTAGAGCTCGAAACTCCATCTCTAGGGCCAGAAATCTGTTGACCACCCAAACGACGTCGCTAAAATTCGACCCCAAGAGGGAAGAAAATCTCCCTCCCAAGAGAAAGAGAGAGATATAGAGATACACCGTAATTATATCTCTAGTACTAATATAATTAGCATATACATGTGTATATACACGTAGTCTATGTATATATGAGTGTATGTTCAAGCCTTTAGCTGTAACATTATATTATACATTAAAATAAAGGGAATAATTTTTTTGATTATCTTGACAAAGATAAATAAAAGAGGAAATAAATTATTTTGCAAGTTTATTTTAGACTCTTACACAAAATAAAAGAATAAGAACAATCGAAGGTAAATAGTTATGTTATATTCATATGCTTCTTGTAACATATTTTCTTTCTTTTATCTTAAAGATTAGAAAATAGTTAACCGCATGAGTTTTTCACTTATTCTCTTCCTAAACTTTCTCTGTATCAGAAAATGTAATTATATCCTCAAATCTCGTAACTAATTTTTTCCTTACAGTTTTTCGCGTCACAACTTTTTTCCTCACAGTTTTTCGCGTCTCAAACATTTAGTTTATGGAATGAAAAATAATAACCACTGGTGTTTAAAGGTTCACGTGAGATGGACATTATGCATTTAATATTCTCAGTTAAAAGCAAAAGTAAGTGTCATTGTAACACATAAAATAACAAAGACACGTGCAAAAGTCCATCCTATTACTTAATTGTAAGGATAATAATTATTTAGTAATCTATTGTCCAACAGCCTTCCTACCTTCTTATTATTTTCTATTCTTTGATCCGTTTCTTCTTCTTCTCTTCCTTCCCATGCCAAAATACTATATAAACTGGCTTTCTTTCGAGTTGTTGGGGAGAGAAACTTCCCAAAAACACAAAAGAAAAAAAGAAAAAATCAATGGCTTCCATTAATCTTTCCTCTCCTTCCACAGCTGTTCTTTCAAGCCTCCAGTGAGTTTTCTCTTTTGAATATTTGTTTGATTTTTCCTCGTTTTGATTCCTTTTGAGTTTTGTTAGCACTATATCTTTTCCTTCAGTGGAATTTGTGCTCCAAAGTTTTTTGTTGTTGTTTTATCTTCTTCTTGTTTGTTCACGCATGTATCACATTATCTTCGTTAGACAAGCTAGAAAGAGAAGTTATTATGGGCCGAGCTTGTCAAAAGTTGTTTTTAACTTCTTAAATTCAAAAGCTACTTCTTCTTCTGAAAGTGGTTAGATAATACGTCAGAAGTATTTTAACTTTCAGAAAAACTAAACAAAGTCATTTTAAGAAAAACTAAACAAAATCACAAAATGACGATTCTTAAAAAGTACTTTTTAGGAAGAAAGAGGAAAATAGGCCAAGATTTGAGATAAATTAAAATTAATAGGTCAATAATTTACATAAGTTAATAAATAGGCTAAATTATTATTTTCGTCCATAACTTGTCTGATTATGAATCATAACTTGACAAGTTATTGTCCATAATTCACGGTTTTGTCCATAACTTGTCTGGCTATGAACCATAACTTGACAAGTTTGTCCATAACTTATCTGGTTATAAACCATAACTTAACAAGTTAGAGCCTATTAATTTATATAACTAAAAATTAGCCTATATACTTTTTTAAGCTTTTCATATTGGTCTATTTTCTACTATTTCCCTACTTTTTAATAGACTTTAAAACTCATACTACATTATGAATTTTATTCTCACACTTTTATTGCTTAGTAAAAAGTACAAAAATAAGGGGCCTCCTAAAATTTGAGGCCTTAAGCACCGCCTTAACCTACATTAATGCTATGTTTGGTAGGAAGGAAAGAAAATATGATAGAAAGGAAATATGAAAGTGATGAAAAATAGCAATGATGAAAAGGAAATTGATTTTCTTTTATGTTGTTTGGTATGAGAAGATGGAAATAAAATGAGTTCACCTTTACTTGTTTGGTATTGGAAGTTAAATTAGGAGAAAAAAAAATATTACTCGTAAATTACTTTTATACCCTTAAATTTTTGCTTGAATGTTGATGGAGAAAAAGGTAGTTTAGTAACTTTGCTCACTTTAATGAGTTGTCTCGATTTTTCATCCTATTTTTTGCCCACTTATGGAAAGAAAAAGATGGTGGGGCCCACATATATTATTTTTCCCTCCATTTTCTCTTCCTTTCTCTTTTCTCTCCTACCAAACAACCTATATTTTTATTTTTCCTCTCAAAATCCCTCCACCTTCTTATTTCCTTCTACTTTTCTTTCCTACCAAACATACTCTAAGATTTAGCGGGTACCGTACTGCATCAACTAGTAGTGATGATGAAGAATACGAAGTTGACTGTAAACAAAACAAATCTTCAAAATAAATTAGATTGATTAAGATTGATTTTTTTGTTGATTTTTCTTATTTTGTGTCTGATTTTATACATTTAATTAGTTTCTAATTTCGGCTTTGTAATTAGCCTATAAATTGGCTACACTGTTATATTGATTATTGAAAAGATTTCTCAGAGTGTTTATCGCGCTCATACTCTTCTTCCTCTTCTCTATCTCAATTCCTTTCTAAATCTATAATTTATCTTATATTTCTTTCTTTTTCTCTAAATTTTTCCTCTTTCTCTTTCC